AGTCGGATATCTTGACTACACCCTCTTTATTAACAAGGATATTATCTGCGCGTAGATCCATATGGACAATGTCTAAGTACTCCAAATATATCATTCCTTGGACCAACTAAATAATGCAAAGTCAATTTGCTACTTCTAACATTCCATCAAGCACAAATTGCAGGACAGTTTTTGTATTTATCTAAAGACTAATTTTAAATATAGAAAGTCCATCATATTTCGATTTTATTATAGAGGGAAAATCGATTAAAATATGTAAGATATTAAATAAGGAACTTGATAAAATATCGATAAAAGTCAAGCCAACTTTGACAATCGTTCCATATGTCATATTGTTGAACGACCAGAAAGTGCAAATAATCTGAAGATTTCAGAAACAGTAGATCAGTCTGAATTCCCCAAAGGAATTCATGATATACTTTATCTCTTATGAGTAACATTAAATAATTAGATAATAAAAAATAATTAGGCTATTCTTATAGTCGCTTATAGTTGTGAAACTGTGTCATTGCATATATAGTTTTAAAACTTCCGTGTTTAAATGCAATCAGTTAACATTCCCACACTTTGTAAATTTAAGATCAAATATATACTTCTATAGGTGAAAATAAATATAGTCCAAACTAATCGACAATTTACCATATTTTTGTAGTTACATTAAATAATAAGATGATGAATGATAATTTGGCTATTTAAAGTAGAGATTGGACCAAGCAAAACACAACTTAATAAGTCTTAAGAGAAAAGGGAAACAAACTGACTCTATCTGCCATTTTGATGAGATCATCGTAGGTGAATTTTGATTTTCCAAGTTTTGTCAGGTAGTGTTTCAGGGAGCCGTTTGCCATGAACTCTAGCATGATAATGACAGAGTTATCATTGGGGTCTTCAGCGAACCCCTGGAACTGCACAATTGAGGGGTGCTTCAGCACATACATCATCTGGGCCTCATGAATAAAAGCCTCTCTGCCTTCTTTGCCTTTGCTCTTCTTAATTGCTATCAAGACATTGCCAATTTGGGCCTTGGAAACCACACCAAAGTTGCCCGATCCCAGCTCCTCCAAAATTTCCAATTCATCAATATTAAATTCACAGTCATCCAATTTAGGAGGAGGGTTAACACGGCGAGGCCGAGCTTCTGTCAGTCCGAGTCTTCCATCTATTGTTGTTGCTACAAAATTTTAAGGTAAATGAATGTCTTTCTGCCAGCATATCATATCTCTCTACAGACTCGTATTGACAACATTTGGAATCAGACACGCATTGAGAATGCCAGAAGAGAAAAAACGGGCAAACCATTTGAAATGGTCAATTTCAAATCTTAAAGTTAGAAAATGCACTGCAGCTTTATTTAACCAACTCTTTCATAAATGTTGAAGAAATAAGCGAGTTTAATGATGTTTGGATGGCCATACTATATTGAAGAGAGTTCATTTTATTTAAATGAAATTATCAGTACATATTCAAGCTAAAGATGTCCAGCAAACAGAAGAGCAGTTTTCAGTTCTGGAAGTGATAGATCTTAGAAATCTAAAGACCTTCAAGACTAAAGGTATTGGCTACTCTAGAGTCCACTTTCATAGAATCAAAAACGCAAAGATATTTAAGAT